AGAGGTTAAACGATCGTACGCGAGACAAAACATCTTGGGTTCAAATCTTGCAGGGGTTGGGATCGTTGATGTGCACTGCTGAGAAGTTCCATGCTAGGACGAAACGGCCGTCCAGTGCTTCCTGGTTTTCCATGTTGGTCTAGTTTTAATTGACTCATGAACTCAATTATTTAATGTGTAAGTGATCACAATAGGTTTGTGTGACCAAAGTTTATGGTATTTAAGAATTTCTATTGCATATTATGTGGATAAGGGGTGTAATAAAAACAATGACAAGAGTTTATTAAATCATTATTTATATATAACAACACTATACTCAGTAATCGTTAGCATTTGAGGTGGAAAATTTCAAGATGATTACGCTTGTAGAGTTAACAAAGGTGATACGTACTCATGATCGAACTAAATGAAAATTAGGCTCTATAGCGAATTAGATAAAAATGGCATGAACGTTTGGTTTTACCGCATCACTGTGCAGTGAACAACACCTGTAAATAAATAATTCCAAGGAATCGATTGAACAAATATCAATCATTATCATCGTTAGGCATGTTGGTAGTAACTTTTCTTAAGACAGAGATATAAAGATAATTAATTTCTTAGTATTTGATTCTTAATGAAATTGATTTGACATTGATGCCAACTTTGTTTAGTGTTTGGTGACCAGTAAATTGACCTAGAAATAATCAGTTTCCACAATTTTATGGATACCCTCCACGCTGATGCTATCTCAATATTAATTTATCATAAAAAGTTAATGGCAACGCTTAGCTCGCACATATAATTAATAGCAAGCAAACGTTTTAAACGCTGTAGCATGTTATATAAACATTTGGATTATTTATGCTTATCACTTATTCATTTCAGTTTATAGCATTTAGTGATTAATAAGTACATTATATTCATTTGTTTCAAAGCTTTTTAGGCCTCTGTAGTGAAGACGAGTAGTGTTATACTTATTACTTAAATTATTTTATGTATTTAATATTGTAACCAATCACTGAAGACAGATTCTACTAGAATTATTTTGATTAGATCATCAAAATAACAAGGGTGAATTCGTAGGGTGATATTAGAAGTTAAAAATAAACTGAAATTTCAACTGTATTACATTCTTACAGTTGAATTTAAGGAATCATTTAAACAGTTAATAAAACCATTATGATTAGTGGCGGCCTGCTTGAATATCTGAGCTACCTGTTTTTCCGATCTAGATATTTCTTCAAGTTATCTGTTTTGTTGTTTGTTTTAGCACATCATTATGTCTATTGTGCTCACAATGTATTCAGGCGCGTTTATGAAAAGTTTACAACCTTTTGCTTTACGGGATACAAAAAGATATAATCAGTGAAATCCTGGTGGCTGGCAATATGCATTGAAACGAATGAACTTTAATCAAATGTGGATTACCGAACTTCTAACATCTAACTGGTCATCATTCAAAATTTATCGTCACAATCGATCAAGATATGAGAAAAGGAAACTTGTTGAAATACTTTATGCTGAGAATTCCATGTTGTACCAAAAATATAATGTTGAATAAAGCTTCTAATAGTAATAATAATAATAATAATAATTATTATTATTATTATTATTATTATTATTCCAATTTAACTTTGATATTAAGTCTAGAACTATACTTTGTTTGAATTCTGAATCTTTGATAATTAATCAAGAGGGAACTGTCTTAATTATTTTATGAAGGAAAACAATATTAAACTTGATCTAGTGAAACCACTATATATCTTAGAAATTATCGACATTTTCATTTAGTAAAATATTGCGATTAACTAATTATGTTGCTGATAATTGTATACAGTCTCAAATTCAATTAAAGAACACTTTGTATTATTCTAATCAGTTTGAAGCATTTGTTTTACTTATCAATTTGTATATAAATATGTATGACATTATACGCTTAGAAAGAAAATATCATACTTAGAGGTATCATGATCGAATTTCACCATAGGACTTATCTAAAAAGATTAGGCGAAATTGAAATCCAAATGAATTCTAACTCAAGAACTAAGAAATGAAAATATTGATGATCATGAATCTTACTTGAAGTCAAGCACATGCTCAAAAAGAGCTGATAGAGAATACGCTGCTTCACTAATTTTGGAGTTGAACAACTGAACTTATGTTTAGTTGAGTGGTACACACCATGAATTGGGTATAGTGAGTCTATAAGTAAGTTTATTTGTTTATTACTTAAACCAGCAGTTTAATAAAAAGGAAACTGATAATTTGATTATCCACTAAATAGATCACTGTCTAGAATATATTACGACATTCAGCCTGAAATTGTGAAACATTTTAGAAAACCAGTACAGGAACTGTATTTACTTGTCATTGAATATTCATACACATGTAAATGCATATATTCGCTGACAAGGAAATATAATTATAAGGTTTTCAAAGCAAGCACTTGTTTGTTAGAGCATCATGTTTCATGATCAATCTATTCAACTAAATATTCTTTTATCTTATATTCAAGCTATGATTCTCCACAACGGTTACAATTAATTATACATCTGGTAACTGTGCTATATTTTACAACCTATTATTATCTGTTCCGGATCCTATTTAGAAATAGTTTTAATATATTTGAACCTTGAGCACCATAAAATGACCAAATCGGAATGTCAAGTATTTTATTACATACGTTTTTATGTTCTTTAGACTGATCTGAAAAAAGCAGCATTATAAATATTCGTGTATTCTTGACTATAATAAAATACTATGATACGTGTGCACAGTGTAGCGGTTGTAATGTTGTACATCTAACTTCTTCAGTAATTAGATGAACAATGTTTAACCGTTTATACGCTATGTAATGTTTATTACAGATAAACACTACCAAATTACGTAAGCGTATGAAACTTGTTCAAACATTTCTCAATCAACTAACATAAGATTACATCGGGATATCATTGGACTACGGTTAAAAGTTCCTAATAAATTCATTACGTAAAACCAAGTGATTCAGTAGACAATTTATAAAGATATCGATCATTTATCGTTGTCATTGATCAACGTAACTAGAGTTTCTCAAAGCACTACTCAGAAATTAATGTGAAAGCATAAGTAAGCATATGTTGGCTGAGATATAACTATGAAACTGAATGTGTAAAATGAAAATTAAGCTGATAGTCACTCAAAGAAAACTAGGTATCTCCTGTCAATGTATCTTAGTTAAGTTATGTATAATAACATATTTAGTCAAAAACGTGATATAAATGTTTATATATATTGGCAATCTTGCCTCATTTTATTATGTTGGCGATTGTGCATGATAATGTTTTGACTAAAATTTAAAATATCGGTTGAATTAGTCAGTTATTTTCAAACGTATATATTACACTCGAAGCAGAAGCACCTTTAATTTTTTATATCCACCTAAATGTTATAAATTCAATTTTATCAATATAGGCTTATGTCAGTTGTTTAGTTTTTATTGAACTCATGAATTAATCAATACTAGACATGACCACTGAAAATCTGGAAGCACTGAACAGTCGTTTCGTCCTAATATGGAACTCCTCAGCAGTATACATACACAATCCTGCGTGCGGGGCTCGAACCCAGGACCTCCAGTCTCGGTCGCAAACGTTTAACCTGTAGATCACTGAGTTTATTTCATTTAATAATCAATCCGCATTGCCAGAAATAGTGTGAAAATTGTATAAAAACTTATTTTACTCCATGTATTACATATTATGATGAAATCATTTTATCAAATTTGTTATTTCAAATACTGTAAACATTGGATGTAGATTGTATGTTTTCATAAATATAATAATCTGACGATGGTGCATCGAAAAATCAGTTTTACAATGTCAATTAATTCATTATTAAACTAGACGAAATAAACAACCGTTAAACTGAAACATTGTAATAATCAAGTTTAGTGAAGTGAACTAATATCTCAATATATTATCGTTTCCAGATCTCTTGTATTCGATCATAACATCGCATCAGTTTTTTCTGTTTGTAATTTTTTATTTAAATACAGAACATTTTTTATAACTGATTGAGCTTAATTCAATTGCAACTCAGTTTTCATTATTGTCCCATCACTCCGTTATGTAGTCACTTACTTTCGAATCAATGATATTTTGGCACATCAGAAATTGATATTTTGAAACCAACTTTTAGATTTTGTAAATATTTACATTTTATATAACCTTCTTCTAATTTTTCTGAACATTCGCTACATCATGGTGATATGTCTTCAACCTGAATCATAAACCGATTTCACTTCCATAAATATTTTCAACTTTATTCAAAACCTTGAGTTTGAAACACAATAGGTTGGAAGATATTAATGATAAACCAATAAAATGAAAAAAATTCACAACATTCTGTTAAAAACGTTACACTTGTTCAAAATAAACACATAAAGAGGAGATAGATGGTGTCTGAAAGTGGAATCCAGACCGCTCATGTCGTCCCATATGATGCTTATCAACTTAATGTACCTGCCGTTTTCTTCAAACGCAATCGCATTATCCACTTAGCTACTGAGTTCAGATAGCCATTGTCTTTTGCAAACAATCAATATAAATAAATTAAACGAGACCTTACGTATGAAACATGAATTTATAAGAAATAGACTACAGATTAGATTAGTTGTAAATATAAGTACATCAAGAATAAATCTAATCAAGTTTCATATCTTATATAAATAAATTTTCAGTTGTTCAAATTATATCATATTGTTCTGATAAACATCTTATTTTCACCACCCTACCCTAATTTACAGAGGGGTACTAATTATTCCATAAGAAAAAATCAATGTTTATAGGATTTCTAAAGGATTTGCTATATACTTTGTAGATTTAAGCTTCTGTATATCGTCGAATAAAGTGTATATCTAGTTCAAAAAGTAGTTCTATATTAAAATAATTAACTTTAAAATTTTCAACTAAACTAACACACTCATACGAACAAAAACGTCTATAATCAAGAAATATATATATTACAATTTATCTACTTACCATATTGTCTTTCACTGAATCTTTTATTAGTTTCTCTGAACATCTTTGTAAACAATGTGATTTACATACAGCACTAGCAATTATTCTTAATTCAGTTGAATAAATTAAATTATTCGATGTTACGATTGGTATAGATGGATCAATATGACGTTTACTTCTAGAATTAGAATGTTTTATTTTATCATTAATTTTCAATAATGAAATGTTTACATAATTATTTATATCCAATAAATTTTGATTAGATTCATTTGAATTAATTATAAACATACAGAATAATAGTAAAGTAAGAATTTTATTTAAATATTTGGTGAAATAAATTAAAATGAACATAATATCATGATATAGGATAACAAGAATTAAATAGTAAACATTCTTTAAAAGTATTGAATATGTAATAAATAAACAATTATGAAACTATTATTTATATATATAAATATGAAATAATAAATGAATCTATGAAATTTATTTAAAATTATTTCTAGTTATTTGATTGGTTGATTGTGGCTGAAAAAATATTAACCAATCAGAATGATAGATTTTTTTTAAAAAAAATAGAAAAAAAAACGTTTTCATTAATCTTTACAAGAAAAGTTCTTGATCATGAATAAATATATTTTGAAGATAGGTAAACCAATCAAACATGTAAAATAATTTGTTCATTAGATAATGAATAGTAATTGTGTATATATTGTTAATATTAAAACTTATCACTTAGATATTTGGATATTCATGATGATAGATTGAAGAATAAATTCATAGATAGCAATGTAAAATTGTATTCATTAGTAATATATTTAAGTAAGAAATAAGTTTAAAAAAAACTTTTAAACAAGAAAATAAACATTTACTACAATGGATTATTAGATCAATGAAAAGTATTCATAAAATGTTGTCAATATTTTTAAATGAAGCTCAGTAGATATAAAATGTGTTTTTGTAACACATAATTCTATCTGAAGTTTTTTCTGATGATGTCATTCAGGAGAACGATGAAAGCTTCACGATTAAACCATCCAGCTTAGAGAAGAAAACTCAAAATCAGCATCATCTCTCTAAGCTAAAAAATCTTCACTATTATCTTCAATTTTCAAAAGATTATCTTTTGAAGAAATATATTGTTTCCAGATTTGCAATAAAAAGCTCGAGATTTTATGCCTAAGATAAAACGACATTTAGAAATCTGTCGGAAATGTAAAATATTATTCGCATTATCCAAAATTTTTAATTGTTCACTGAATATACTTCATTTGATATCGCGAATGGATGAATGTTAGACCACTATTGAAAACCTGGAACCACTGGACGCCCTTTTCGTCTTAGTATGGAACTCCGCAGCAGAGGGCATCCTCGATCCAGCACGAGGGACTCGAACTCAGAGCCTTCGGTCTTGCGGGAGATTACTAGACATTAATACCGTTGAATGCCAGCTCAGCGGTTTAGAGGTTACATGGTCACATGAGAGACGGAGGGCCTTGGGTTCGAATCTCGCATCCGGAGTCGCGGATTTGCATTGCTGAGGAGTCCTATACTAGGATAAAGCGACCATCTAGTGCTTCCAGGTATTTGATATCAATTGAAACTTAACAATCTCCGCAACCCTATACTGAAAAATAATTATATTTCACAGTTTTTATTCAAAATCTACTTTCCTTGTAAACTATATAAATTTAAGGAATCTATCCATATTCCTGCTGATCGTTTAATAAATTTCTTAATTACTAATATATCATCCTTAATGTCTGTCAGTTAAGTAATTTTTAATAGAGTGGTGAGTTATTTTGTTAGTGCTCTCAAAATAATCACTTAACACTTTTTTAAAAGAAAGATTAGATTTTACATGATATTTACTTGTAACAACAAAAAATTTGATAGATAATGCTAAAAAGATTTTTTTGGTCATCTGACCTCATAAGATCTATTCATCAGAAGAAAGTTCCAGTTATTTCTACAAATCCTAGAGACTTAAACAGAATAGGTTATACTACTTCAGCTGTCAGACAGAAAAATGAATAAAGGATTAAAGAACAGTTGACTATATCTCTGAATAGTTATTTACTAAAATTATGAAGTCTATAAACGTTTTAATGTAAACTGTAAATCATATTTCTACTACGAGCCGTCAATTCATGAGCTTTCAGTGTGAACATAGAATGAAACAAGTAGGTCAATCAAGTCTTGAGAGTTCAGTTTCAGCATTTCGCTTGAATATTTGATATATTATCAAGACGAACTATGAGTTAAGCATATGGCTTTCTCAATTGATATTTTTAACTTATTTTCTTATTTTCTTTAGAATTAGACAGAAGTAATAAACTCGTTTACTGATTTCAATATAATGGATACTTTAATTGCTATGCATGGATTATTTAACACTAACGTTACTTTCTGTTTGTTTTCATACTTCGTTCTTATGTCATAAACATGCAGTGAAACACCTTGAATATGTTTCATATTTAAGTAAGATTTCAGTTGAATTACGCCCTAATATTTCCAACTTCTGTCTGATTGAACTAAAAATTAATAAGTATCAAGTCTTTAGGTATGTAATTTATTATCACACGCCTTAAGTACATGATTGATAGCTGATGTTCCATTAATTTGAGTTCATCAATACTTAAATATGATAAAAACGTCTATCAAATCTTGTATATGTGTTAATAGTTTTGTGTAAAATGAAGTAATTCCCATTTGTTTTGTTCCCTGAAGATCATTCAATAATGAGTCACATGTATTTGTCAATTATTAGTCTATTTAAATGTTTAACATTCGATAACTACTGTTTCCATTCGTATATCACAGATTTCTAATTATATCAACCATGGATTTAATCTCAGTTAAGTTTTATAACAAGATGTGAATTCATTAAATCCAACCACTTTCCCTATTTTGTTATAGTCATAGCTGAAAGTAGTTTACTTTCAAATATTCAGTGGTATATTAAGCTTCACTAAAAATGGTTTTGCATAGTATTTCCACAAACATAACTTCATCATATAGACACACTTGTATATGTTTAACATTTGACATTCATAAGTAAATTATATTAGATAAAAATTTGAGCACTATTGTAACAAATAAAAACATAATAGAATATGTGAAAAGTGTTTTATTTCAATGTAATTTCAGCATAAAAGGTTACCATATACGATATCTTTCATAAACACTTTTATTTATGTTTTAGACAAGTTATTTGAAGAGCATTTTAAGTGAATCATCATCGATTCGAATAAAAAGATATTATTAAACTGACTGATGAACCATAATATCTGAAGCATGAACTAGATATTACTTATTTTTTTCTCCCAAATTGTACGAGCATTCCATGTACCTAAATTAATGGTTGCTATGGTTGTCAGAAAGGGGTATCAGCCTCGTGACTTCCTAAGAATCTCGGCTTTCATCATGAGGCGTCATAAATTTTCTAAATGAAGACCTTCTAACTCGCAGGGCAGAGTTTAAATAGTTTGAATAATTTTTTTTCTGGTTAGCATTCTTTTAGCGAGTTAATAGGGTCACTAACCCTATGCCCAACCCTCTTCTTTTATCTGTGCTTGAGATCGGCAGAAACCCCAGAGGGGCTCCAGGTGGAGTTATGAACTATATATACCCATTCTTAATAACTGGTCGAGTAATAATGGTAATCCACTTAATTTATTACATTACAAGTATAGGCATTTTTTGAAAAGCAGTATCCTAATCCTTGTTCATAAAATACAGCCAAAGATCATAGCAAAACTATTAATACTATTCGAATAACTTTAAAAATCTGTATCGTAAGCAAGTAATTATGTACCTTCTTGGCATGATCTTAAATTATAAATACCCTTATAAGAATAAGAAGTGTATCATCATAAAACAACGAAGAAAATCTAATAAACCCCCTGGATGATTAAACATGATAACCCATTCTCAGAATATTATTTGTTTAAATTACTCCTGTTTATATAATAAGTCACATTTATAGTCAAATAATAATAATAATAGTATATTAAATCTATGATTCTCTCTTCAATGTCAACAATGATTCATCTAATACAAATCTTTTTATATCACCTTATATCTTATCACAATCAAAGTAAAACAAAAAGGTAGCAAGATGTATAACTTCTGTTTATTTGTCCTTTTATTAGTTATCAATTTGATTATCTTTTCTCCTAAATTACAATAGATACACATGATTCATCAACAATGAATTCTGATTAGAATCTTTACATTTCATATGATTTTCGGAATCGTTTTTTGTTTTGTTTTATTTTTCTTGTTAGAAATTAATTACGAGTATATGCATGTGTACGATACTGTTATATAATAAGTGTTATGTAATCACAGAGTATCAAAAAAAAAACTGTAACCAAATATATGATGAGAAATCTTTTCGTAATGTGATGCACGTAACGATTTGACAAAAAATATGTGATATCTATAATATACTATCTACTTATTCCTAATGATACTAAATATGGATACGGCGAAAACGATATATCTGTATGCTTGTGTAATCAGAGAAATAGATTAGTTATTTGGTTTATTAGAATGAGCCTAAATAACACGAAAATAATTTAGGATAGACCAGAAAAAATAATGAAATGTGAAATATCTTCAAAGAGACCGACCATGTAAATTTTATTGCTTTTAAATTTTTTACATATTTTGTATATATACAGTAAATTTTCATTTCAGCTTACCGCTATATTTTAGAGGAAAAATGTGGCAGTTTTGAAAATGTTCGATCATGTTGCAAAATAAGTTATCATTATACTCATTTTATAGGGTAAGCGAAAATCATGAAATATAAATAGAACTAAGTACTCAGTGGTCTAGAGGTTAGAAGTTTTTGCGCGAGACCGAAGGTCGTGAGTTCGAATTCCATGAGCGGGATCTTGGATGCACACTTCTGAGTAGTCTCATATTAGAATGAAATAACCGTCCAATGATTCCATGTTTTCAATGATGGTCTAACGTCAATAGGTTCATGATCTCAATCAAAACACAACCATATGCATTTATGTAGCATTCGCAGAATATTCGTGGAAATGTACCCGCACAATTAACTAAAATCTTTAATCCGTGAAATGGATATAATATACATAAAACAATAGACGCTGACCTCATAGATTATAGGTACATTTATCGCGCCTTTTATTCACAACATACTTCCCTTAATAAGTCATTCCTTTATAGTGACAGTTGAATATTTGTATATTTTTGCATGATTTGATCAAAGTATATACGTTTATATTTCTATTTGTTTTATACATAAACATAAATGATTTTGATCTTTCCTTCTTGTTACGTTTCAGTCATTATAAAGTACTTTAATTGCCTAATACAAAGATGAATAATAAATTTCTTTAACTATCGGACTGAGAAAAAAAACGTAAATTTATAAGTTACATA